GCATCATTGCCATAATCAGTCTTGCATGGTCGGCATTCAGACCGCCCCCCCCCCAACGAGCCCTTGAAAAATCGTGAATGCCTTTGGGTGTTTTATTTTTCAGCACTCGAAAGGAGATCGTAATTGAAGACGGAAAACAAGGAAAGTCTGTAGCCATAGGAGTGTCGGTCTTCATTACATTTTTGTTATGGGACCATTTCTGCGCCTTTCTTTTTTTGATATTAATGATCGTGCGCTGATCTATATTTCCATGCAATCATAGCAGATGTGCCTCGTTCAAAGGAGGGGTCGACACCAGTTATGCAGCAGGCGTAAGTACATTCTCCTATAGATGGTGGTGGCACTCATTTATTTATGTCTGAGGGAAAAACGGTGAGTAACTCTGACTCAGACTCGTACCTGGGATCTCTCGATTCTGAGTGAACCCTCTACCGACAGAACAACCCAAGTCGTCGTTGAAAACGAGGGAGAAGCGCTGTCACTGATATTTTACAATTATCATATGCCTGTCTCTGATCGAGTACATATTTGGTCATTCCATACTCAGATGAAGTTCATGCAGCTAGACTGCTGCCTAAGTTCCTCATCGACCAGCTTAATCAGCAGCTTTCTACACTGTTGAGGTTTTTACCCCTTCACCCTGTGGTTCACATTCGAAGCCGGTAACCCGGAAGCCGATTAATATACAGTAATCTGATTTTTTCCCACACTTATCACATAGCAAATTATGGCATGTTGCAATATTTCATGCTATCTGTCCATTGAGCAGAAAATAACAGCCGATGACGATGACCCTTAGTACTGTCAAAGTCTTGAAGCAGAATTGTGGGCTTAAATTCATGCATCTTCATAATGGCTCATTATTTTATTGTCTCAGGGAATTCACATTTGCATGTTTGTTGTTGCTGTTTGGAAACGGCGTACTGCTATAGATAAAAAGAGCTGCCAAAATAGTATATACCTACTATAGTCCATCGATCAGATTTTTTACCTCTGTAAAATTAACTTATGTACCAAGGCCTTCATTTTGATTTTTCTATTGTTAGTTTCTCGGACTCTAACTAATCGTAAGCATCCGATTTTAGTTCAGCATTCTTCGCAATGAGCCTATCTCGTATATGCCCACTATGTGGACCAAAATGCTCTATTTGCTGTATGGTGATCAGTGCGTGGGGAGTCGTTTTTATGGTAAGTGATATTTTTTGCTGAAACTTTTAATAATTAAGGCGATAAATAATAAAATCGGCTTCATCTCTGTCTCTGTTAAAATATGGGTCATTTCACCTTCTTGCTCATGTTTAGGCCGTTTTGGGGATTGCTTTCTACACTCAGACGGCGTTGCTGTATCAGGATCTGCACATCCAAGCGACGGTCGCCGATTTTAACCTCGCTGACGTGGCTGAACGATATCGTTCGAGCGCGTTCAACTGCTGGATAGCCGCCGGTGGATACGTGTTGACACTAATCATCGCCTTCTGGCAAAACAGATGGAGCAACACCGTCGCTTTGTAACGACTAAAACCATATATATATTTGGTTTTTCTCTTATGATGTGCCGATTGTTGGTCCGTGAATTTTTCGCAGCTATTATTTTCTTGTTTCGTCTGAATGTTCGTATGATCTGTGCTACAAAATACTTTTCTGTGATATTTTGTTCATGACGTTAAATATCGTTTTAAATTTCGCTGTGGCTTTCCTATTC